GAACGTCGCGCTTTCGCGAATTTTTGCTCGCACTCGGAACTCCCAACTGGGCTGGAAATTAACGGTGAAAAGCCGAAAAAAAAGGGCGAGTCTCTAATTTAAGATCCCTCCCTAATCTCTCTCGCAATTAAAGTGCTACGCCACGTTCGTGAGAAAATTACGCGTAAAAGAATTCTCGTTAGAGCTCGTTCTTTTTGCCGTTTCTCCGTCATCTCGTTATTTCCCGGCCGGCGTTTCAGCGTCCACGCCTCTCCTTTTTTTTAACTTTCAGCTACGGCGGCTCTTAGAAAATTCAACAAAGGACCCGGGTGCTCGGCGCCCGAGTGAAACGGGTCAAACGTCGTCGCACAAGAGCGATGACGTGCGCGATATAATCGCCTTAAAACCACTCCCGCGCTTTAATTGGCAGTGCTGCAAATATGTAAAGATCTTTTCGCGCATACGTATTTCCCTCTCGGCGAAAACTCGAACGCAAGATACAAATAGAATGCAAATTGCTCGCGGAAGAAGTGTCATTATCGTACCATTATCACGTGTAATTAGCGCGACGCTTTTCAACCGTCTCGCCTGCCATTTGCGAAAGTACTTGAGCCTCTGTGCGCTTCACCTTCTTACATCTACTAGCTTACGCAATTATTATCCTAAAAGTAGTCTTCTTACATTATAAATTCTAGGAGAAAGTAAGCGTTACGCGTGTGCCGGTCGGAAGAATAAAAAAAAATCAGAAATATGTAATTAAATAAAAAGTTGTATGTTAATCACAAAAAATAAAATAAAATAAAAATAAATTCGGATGACGAAGTATTTACAGCAGTTGTATTCTGTTTCTCTTTCGCAAACTTTCGCAATTTCTCATTACGCTAGAAATGTATAATTATTCATACAACTTAGAATAAAAAAAAAAAAAATGCTGAAAAAAAAAAAACTTTATTCCTACTCAAAGCAAATACTTCGTCACACGTAAAGGCATTCCAACTGTAATCTGACAAACAAGCTGTCGGAAGTTTCATTCACTTACGCTAAAAATGCGGAACAAATATGAAAAAGTAATTGAACAGAAAAAGATAAAAAAAAATAAATAAACGAGTGAAAATCGATCATGGCACAGTTCTCGTGTATCGCGTGAGAGAGCGGGCAGTGCGAGTTGTATTTCTCATTATACACATACGACTCCGGCCTCTGCTTGCCGGATAAACGATTTCTGCTGCAGCGATTTCCTTACCTTTTCGGACACTTCGCGAGGTCCTTATTCAGTGGCCTCCTCAGTGTCCCCCACGTTCAGCGTTTGCCCGTTAATCTCTCTCGCTCTTTTTTCCGACCGATCGATCGATCCTATCCGAATCTGTTTTTTCTCTCTCTCTCTTTCTTTCGCTCGCTCTCTCAGATTTTTCAATCGACTATTCAGTACGAGTCATTCGCCCGCTCTTTTTGCTTTTTTTCTCTATTTTACCCTCGCTCTTTCTCTCGCACAGAAGCTCTCTATGGGACAACAAGAGATCTGCGTGAGATACGACTGTATTTTGCGATTGTTCCTTTTTTTTTTTTAGCTTCTTTTGTTTTGCTTTTTGGTTACTCTCGTTCGTTCGCGAGCGGTAGCCGAACCCAACACAACGACCGGATGATTGGCGGATTTTTCCGGCTCTTTTGTATGCGGTTCGCTTACTCGTCGTTCAACGACTTTGTTTCGAGACTTTGCGTCCACCCCTTCAACTTCGCTCACTTTGCATCCGGGCGCACCGCCGACGCGGATCTCTCTCGTCTTCTCGTTTTACGAGATCGATCTCAGACGGGGACGACAGTTGCGCGCGAATTTATAGCAAACCGGGCGCTTAAAATGTGACAATGACATCGAATCCGTGTCGGCGCTGTGACCCAGATACATTTCTCTTCATATTTGGGTATTACGAGGATCCTCGAGGCGAAAGGATCGGCAACGGCGTCTTGTCATGGCTTTCGAAATTTGCGACATGACATTTTCTTTAGATCCGACTGACATGACATTTTATTCGAGGACTCAAAGGGAAAATTTCTTCGCTTCGCGACATTTCTGCTTGAAAATTCCGCGCGACATTAAGAAATTGCTGCAGACCGTGGAATCTCATTGGTACAGTGAGTCAATGAGTCGAAAAAAGGGCGGGCTTTCAAGCTTTAATTGAGCCATTAAAGTCGCAATAAGAAGGCCGCCCGATCAAACGGCCGCCATTATTGAACCGGAAAAAATCTGAAGAAGTAATCACTGGCCCTGATTCAAGAATATAATCCTATTACGTCTGAAAAGCGATATAATGACGACGGAGAGAGACGCGCTGTATCTTTTCAGAAAAGATTTCTTTCTCGTCCTTTTCCCGACTCACTCATTTCAAACGTGAAAGGAAAAAAATGAACTTTATCAATTGTGAAAAAGGTACAAAATATAAAATTTTAATTAAGACAAATAATGATTGGTAAAACGAAGGAAAGATTCTCGATTCGCGCGTATTTGCGTAATATCGAACGACACGTCTCGGCGGCGCGATTGTTAGTTAAATGAAGCTAAAGTGATGGTTCACGCGGCGCATACAAGACCGGCGCAGCCCCGGCTGCTCCGGCCACCACGAGAAGATAACTTAATCGAGTTGTTCAATTAGGCTAAACCGTTGTTGTTTGGTATCAGCATCGACGCAGCAGATGCTGCGGTCGTCGCGCGGTCGGCCGGGAGCCTGCAAAAGCTGCTACGTGCCGCGCGATGATCAAAGCTGGCTGTGTCGCTGGCGAGAATGCACGACAAGATTTTCCGCGCTGCGGGAGTGAAATTGCTCCGTAGCATAAACGTTTTTAATTATTAACCGTATCGGTCGGTTGCACAATTACGTTGTCCTCGCAGACAACGCAAGCGGGATGAAAACGAATAAAACGCGATTAATTATGAAATCAATTAATTGGAATCTATAAAATAATTTATCAATTAACTTATCCAATTATTAATATTATTATGGCAGCATTATATTGTATTATATTCCTATTTCGCATAATAAATGTCATGATGAAATTTGAAATCTACCAACACAACCGTTGCCGTGTCCGATTGTCCCGTTTATCCTCAATCGATTCGACGGAGTTTATTCAATGCACATATCAACGTTGATCGCGGAGCGATGCTTGGACACGAGGATAATTGCCGGGCTCGAAGATACACTGATGAAGTTGATGACTCGGTTTCCGTTACGATTCCTCGCATGAGCGCACGCATTCGGCGGGCAAGATTGAGGTCGCGCCGCGACGGAAAACGAATAAAAGGAAAAGCGAATGCGAAGTGCGCGTGGAGAGTGCAAAATGACGGATCGCGATTGCGGCTTTCTCCCGTGTTAATTTTCACCGGCCAAGTGACTGGCCAATCGACTAAGAGAATTTCTGGATCACTCAAAGCCCCCGAGCGACAATTGAACCTCGCTAATCGGCAGCTCGCGCGCCATTCGTGATCCACGACTGATCGTCAGGATTGATCCAGGCCACGGGAAAAATCTATTAAGTCCCCGCGACTCGACTTTCTCTCCTCCCCTCTCTTCTATCTGTACTCTCGAGCCCGCGAAATTACCTCGCATTTCGTTAATTGCCGCGACGCAATGCGGCCGTTTCGACGCGTTTTTTTTTTTCTCTCTTCGAACAAAAGGCTCCGTCGAATCGCGAGACGGACTCTTTCGATATCGCAGCCGTTTTGCGCAAAAACGGTCGTCTACGATTCTGCTGTCGGTCCAACGTCTCTCGATCGGTTCGCGATTAAATCTAGTCTCTTAGATCTACGGCCTTCGCGTCGCGCAATGTCCATCTCGCGCATCAATGCTGTGCAATTTATAATAAGCAGAGATGTTAGCACCGTGGTTAAAAAATAGTCGTTAAATCACATCAAGAAATTTCATAATTGCGACGGACGCGAGAGATGAACACTCGAGACTCGAAGTGTCTAACTTAACTACGCGGCGACCACTTTTACTCGAGAAAAAAATCTGAAAACACTTTTCTTTTCAGGAAAAATTAATTTCTAAATTCATGACGATCGAAAAAAAAAGTCTTGGTTTTGTGGTCGCCGCTACGACGAGCGCGCGCATTTTTCCAGAAAATGCGCCCGCTCGGTTTTCCTGAAAGAGAACACATTTATACATAATGGATTAATGACGATGTATACATATATATATGTATGTATATATATATAAGTATAAGAAAGTTCATGCACACCTCAATCTTTCTGCCCTCAACCACGGTGCCGTGTAGCCTCTCACGTGCCCGGTCCGCGTCAGCACTATTTGCGAATGTTACAAAACCGAATCCCTGCATGCAAGGACAGACAAAACAACATGCATTAAACTCAACTTACAGACTGTCAGCGCTCCGCAAAAAGCCGACTGGCTGGGCCGACATTTCGTCTATGCGCGCGCGTGCACATATAATACGCGTTTCACACATTATATTATATGTATACACTAGTACATAATATAACAGGGGGTGCTCCAAAAGAGGATAGTCGAGGCGTGATGTCGAGAGAGAGGTTCGCGAAAAGCAGCCTCCTCTCGCGCCACGACGATTTCGTTTGTTTCAAAACAGCGCGTCCCCGTTGATTTTTTTTTTTTTACCGTGTTATCATTGTATTATACTCGTTGAAAAAGTAAAGAATTTTTGTCGGAAGGACATGATTCAAGTTTGTGCAAAAAAAAAACTTACATTAAAAAATCAAGTTTCATCAACGGAAAAAATTAATTAAAAAGAAATATTTATCTCCGTCCCGTTTAATTTCGAATTACGCGGAAGCAAATGCTTTTCTCCGTCATTTGACTTCTTTTCTATTTTCTCGACTTTTCGACGGATTTGCAAGCCAAGTACCGTCGTCTAAACGGGAGAGTCGAACGGAGATCGATCCCGTTACCGTCGAGAACCAAACGGAAGACGCGGAGAGCTCTTTCGCCCTGCCGCGGGCGACACCGGCCAGCTCCTTTGTGCTCCTCTCCATCGGAACCCTTCCATCACCCTCAGCCCCGCCGGCGTTTCTCTCTCCCCCCCCCTCCCTCCGAGTCAGTGCTATTTATTTCTCTGATGCACAATAGCGGTCCCTCTCTTTCTGGATCAACCGTTTTGTATCGCGAGAGGCGCGCTAATTAATTCCCGAGGCTCCTTCGAGACGCGACGAAGCAAAAGAGAGTTTCGCGAGCTTATTTTTTTCGCTACTTTGCTGCTTTTATTTCGCCATTCGCGCAAGCTGAGATCGACAACTATCCCGTATTGGTATTCTGCGATCCGCGGCTTCATTATTTCAGACAATTTCAGGATAAAACTGAGAAACTCGAAC